TGCTTGACTCCATTCTCACCAATAAATACACCTTTTCTTATTTTTTGTTCTGGAGACTGCATTAGAAGCGGTATATCAAACAAATGCGCTCAGAGGGACAACTCTGTCGCCTACAGTATAAGTACCGCATTAAACTCCCACGCTGGATAGTCTCGTGCTTGGAATGAACTTTCTTTAGACATATACAGTAAGTACTCTCTCCCCCCACCTTTCAAAGAGGAAAAAATAGAACATGAATATTTTGGAACGGCAGAAGCCACGTGGGCGCCCCCTTACTAAATTTGTTCCTGAAAAAGACAATCACTTTTATTTGAAATTGCAGTCGAATATTCTTTATTAAAACATCAGCCTTCATGTCTGTGTATGGGCAGTGCGTGTGCCCAGACAGCTGCGTGGTGTGTTGTTATATTGCGTTGTTGTCATAGGGAAGCGAGTCAAAAACAAACTTTATTTCTCAGTTGCACATGCGCGATGCGTGGTGCAGTCCCGGTTACTGGCTCAGCGTCCACACACTAGCCCCAGTCTCATCTTTTCAGCCAGCCTGCGCGCTGCGGCTGCTGTGATTTGGTTGATTTTAAAATCTCACTGAAATGTTTTTAAAGGAAACCCAACCAAGTGGCCTGGCTGCTAAGGGCTCTGCATAGCTCCTCGATCTGGCGACAAGGGGAGACGAAAAAGCTCCGGAGCAAGCCACGCCGTGGGCGCCTGTAGACTGTGCTAGGAGCCTGCTGCTGGCGCTCTGATCCTGCCTGTGGCAGGGCGGAGAGAGCGGATCTGCTTAGGAAGAGGAGCCGCCTGCGCGCTGCTCTTGCTGCCGAACACACCGCTAGCACCTAGGGCTCGGCGCTGGGGAGGGGCTTCTGCTCCTTTCCACCCCTCCCCCCCAGCGAAGGGTGGGCGCGCAGACAGAGCCGCGTTGCCTTCATGTTTCCAGTGACGTGACCGAGAGCGCAGGGCGGGGGCAGTCCCGGCGCTGGTAAAGGGCGCTAGTTATGACTAAGCGGCTCTGTTTGAAGTACACGCAGTCCCAAGGCTGCAAAACCCAGTCATTTCCCGTGCCCGCTCCTCCCCCTCCCGCCAGCGGCTGCCGGGTGACACACAACAAGCAGAACGATCGCTCGACTTAATCACAACGTCAAGCGCCCCCCTCCAGGTGTCCCGACAAAGGGAAAAGGCGAGTTCCCAGCGGTGCAGCAGCTGCAGTTGGAAGCCACCCGAAGCTGTTCCTTGCTGTGCAGTGCGCCAGGACGGAGATTTATTTTCTATAGAAGACACTCAGTGGAGCAGCGGCTGCTTTTTCAGCCAAGTGGTTGGCAGCAGGTCTCCTGCCAACCCCAAATGTGGGTTTAGGGAGCTCACCAAAACTAGCCGCCTCCGTCAAGCTGGGTTGCTGCCTGCAGCACAGTCCTCCTCAGAAGGCACCAGCGCTGGCCTTCCAAAGTACCCCCCTCCGGACCACCGGCCAGAGACTAAGGCAGGAGCGGAGCCGAGATTCAGTAAATGCCGGTACTGAGTTTGGAATCACCACCAGACGCGACGCACAGACATCGCTCAGGCAGCGAAGTGAAATGAGTCAAGCCCGAGCCTGGGAACATTCGCTACCCCAGAGCTGTGATTGCTGCTGTGCGCAGTGCGCAGTGCCGTGGAAATCCCTGAGAGTGCCCAAAGCAATAGACGTTGGGCGGAAAAGCGTCCCCAGGGAATGCCCGCAGCATCGGGCCCGTTGGCTGCAGCTCGTGTAGATACCCGGGGAAGCAAGAGCCAGCTCTATATGTTCCCTACTGCAGAGTCCCCCCCGCCTCGGTTTACGAGAGACTCGAGCACTGGAGGAGGCAATCGGTAGCCTCGCCTGCTTAGCGCCTCGAACCGCTCAGTTCAATGCCTCCCTGCTTGCCCAAGGGGATTTCTCTCCTCTGGCTTAGGGCTATGGCGGAGAGCAGCGTGCAAACGCAGAGGTTGCTGACTTTCTCTAAAAAAATGTTTTTTTACACTGGATTAATTCTTTAATCCAGTTACAGAGAAAGGAGGGGCAAAGACAAATTGTTTCCGATGTTTAAATCTTTTTTGGTTAAGACCTTAAACAGTTACAGGAGACGCAGCTGGGCTTTGTTAAAATGTCATTTGAGTTCTTGGGAGATATTGATTTTCACTAAACACATTACTATTTCATCCCTTCCAATTAATAAAGCGGAGGGAAAACCCAGAAGTAATGAAAACAAACAGGATTTTAAATTAAACCACAAAAGTAGACCTGCTAAATCTTACTCAATTGAGGGGCCAGAGATCCTTTAATTTGAGATTAATTTTAAAGCAGCATTTAAAGACCCTCCCTCCGTGAAGGAAGGATTTTGCTGTGGCTTTCACTGAACCACTTACAATTTCATAACTTTATTAAATCTTTCTTCTCATGACAGAAGGATTTTTTCCTTCTAGGTCATGAGCACAGTGAATTTCAAATGAAGCTGAAGGTGTTACACACAAAAGGTCCGATTTTAAGAGATGCTTATGTGAAGAAAACAGAAATGTCCCTATAATATGAAATTGCAGGACTACTAACTGTGATATGTAATTTATTAAATCAGCCTCTGTATTAGATGTTGGTGGATAGCTAGTGGGACAGTTTTTTAAAAAAAGGCTTCACAGGTGATCTTGGCAATTACAGGCCAGGAAGCCTAACCTAGGTACCACCTAAATGAGTCGAAACTACAGTGAAGAACTATTTATCAGACACCTAGCTGAACATGATGTATTGGGAAGAGTGATCATGGCTTTTGTAAAGTGAAATTATGCCTCATCAATCTTTGTTCAAGAATACTAACATATGGCTAAATGTGATCCAGTGTATATAGTGCACTTGGATTGTCAGAAAGCCTTTGATAAGATGACTCACTAAGGGTTCTTAAGTAAAGCAGGCAGTCATGGAATAAGAAGAAAGGTTCTCTTATGGATCAATAACTGGTTAAAAGACAGGAAACAAAGGGAAGGAAAATTGTTAGTTTTCACAGTAAGGGTGGGGGTAAATAGTGAGGTACCCCAATGATTTGTACTGTGAACAGTGCTGTTCAACATATTCATAAATTATCCGGGAAAGGGAGTAAACAGTGTAGTAGAAAAGTTTGCAAGCCATACCAAATTACTCCAGATAGTAAAAACTTAAAAAAACAACAAATAGTTTAGTAGCACTTTATAGACTGACAAATCGTGTAGATGATATCATGAGCGTTCCTGGGCACAGCTCACTTCCTCAGATGACTGGAGTGTTGAGCATCTGAAGAAGTGGGCTGTGCCCACGAAAGCTCATGATACCATCTACATGTTTTATGAGTCTTTAAAATGCAACAGACTATTAGTTGTTTTTTAAGTTTTTCCTGTTACAGAGTAGCTCCTCTACACTTCTTAAGTTTTAGATCAAGATAGTAAGTTAAGCCCAAAGCTGACTGCAAAGAGATGCAAAGGGATCTGCTCCTCTACACTTCTTAAGTTTTAGATCAAGATAGTAAGTTAAGCCCAAAGCTGACTGCAAAGAGATGCAAAGGGATCTCACAAAAACTATGCAAGAAAATGCCAGATGAAATTCAGTGTTGATAAATGCAAAGTAATGCACTTTGGAAAATGTCACCCCCAAAATACATACAAATAGAAAGGTCAAAATTAGCTGTTACCACTCAAGAAACAGAGTCATCCCCAAAATACATACAAATGGAAAGGTCTAAATTAGCTGTTACCACTCAAGAAACAGATCTTGGAATCATCATAGATAGTTCTCTGAAAACATCTTCTCAATGTGCAGTAGCAGTCAAAAAAGCTAACAGAGAATTAGGTCTTATTAGGAAAGGGATAATTAATAAAGACATGAAATATCTTAACGCTGTTATTTAAATCCATAGTATGTCCACACTTTAAATACTGCATGCACTTCTGCTGTCTCTCTCTCTCACTCTCAAAGAATTAGTACAGAGAAGGGCAAAAACATAATTAAGGATATGGAACACCTTCCATATGAGGAGCAATTAGAATAATTAAGGATATGGAACAGCTTCCATATGAGGAGCAATTAAAAAGACTGGAACTGGTTATTTTAGAAAAGAGACAGCCCAGGAAGATATGATAAGAGGTCTGTACAATCATGAATGGTGTGATGAAAGTGAATAGGAAAGTCCTCTTTATTCCTTCATGTTACATAAGAATCAGGGGTCACCCAACGAAATTCATAGGCAGCAAGTTTAAAACTCATATGAGAAAGTATTTCATACAAATCAACCTGTGGAACTCTGGCCAGGGAATGCTGAGAAGGCCAAAAGTTTAAGTGTTCAAAATGGAATTAGACTCATGGAGGATGGTTCTATCAAAGGCTATTAACCAAGATAGTTACAGACACAGTCCCATACTCTGGGTGTCCATTATTAACCTTTGTTAGATGTTGGGACCAGAGGACAGGGTATGGATTACTGACTTAATTTCCCTGTTCTGTTCACTTGCTCTGAAGCACGTTGGAACTGGTCAGTGTCAAAAGACAGGATACTGGGCTAGATGGACGATTGATCTGACTCAGTATGACCATTATTCTTATGTTCATGAATGTGTGCGCTCCACAAAACGCTCAGTTACTAGGGAGATGGCTTTCCTTCTAGTAAGGAAAAAAAGGCAATGAAATAAACAAGAGCACGATATAACCACGTGATAAAATACAGGCTAGCGTGGATGTGCCACTATAGCGAGTATATACACATGCCATGCATTTTTTGTTGGCAGATATCCGCCGTGACAGCCCGGATCCTGCACTCCCACACTTGTTTAACATGCGGAGGAAGCAGCCAGCAAGTTCCTTGCGCTTTTCGCGCGGCGTGAACACGCTCCTCACAGCCCCTGGAGGGTTTGAGGCACCCAAGGCACCCGCGCCCCCTGCGCCCCCGGCCTGGGCAGCCCCCGCCTCTGCGCGCGGCGTGGCCCGGCGGGAGCAGCTCCGCGCGCTCTGCAGCCGGGTCAGCCACCTGATGTCACAATCCAGAGGAGGCGGAGGCGGCCTCCCCCCGCCCCCAGGCCGGCTTCCGTTGGGTTACCTAGGAGAAGATACACACTCCAGCGCGCCTGGTCCGGCGCGGCCCTGCTCGGCTCGGGAGCCAGCGTGCGAGGCTTGGCGCGCGGCGCTGGTAGCCGGAGCAGGGGGCACCAGGTCCCCCTGTCCCCGCCGCCATGAGCCAGAGGCAGGTTTTACAAGGTAGTTCTTTATCGGGGTTGCCGTGGGGCGGGCGCAGCGAGCCCCTGGCTGCAGCCACCGGCGGGGCGGGCGCTCCCCCCAGGCTAACTCCGTCCCCTCCCTCTTGCAGTGTTCGAGCAGTACCAGAAAGCCCGGACCCAGTTTGTGCAGACGGTGGCAGAACTTGCTACTAGGCCGCAGAACATCGAGACCCTCCAAAACGCAGGTGAGGCGCGTTGGTTCTGGCGCCGAGCCGAGCGGGGGCAGGCACCAGCCCTGCTGCTGACTTTGGCCCTGCCCTTAACGCGGGTGCAAGTGGGGTGAAGCGAGAGAGGGAGTCGGTGCTTGCACCTTAATACCAATCTGCATTTGCTTATGGAGCTGATATGTCCCCAACAAAGGAACCCCAAGAG